GTTCTTATTTCCCACCCTATACATGCAAGCCTATAGGGTGGACAGTAGAAATGTGATGGAGAAAGAGTGGCATTAATCTCATCTCTTTGACACAGCCACCAAAAAAGCCACTTTGACACAAGTGGGGAAGAACTCTGTCCCTTTAAAAAAGCTGTAATAAGCTATTTTCCACTGGAAAAAAAAAAAAGTAAAACCCAACAACCAACCAAAAAAACCCAATGACAGGGCTAGCAGCAGGGAAATTAAGAGTCATATTTCTTTTTGGAACAATTCCCCTGGAACAGGACTGATTTCCAGGCCAGAGTGGCAAGAAAAGGTTCAGGAGCATTTAGTTATACTTGAAATTCTCCACTGTAATAATGCAGCGTAGGCATGGTCTAACAAACACACGTGGGCTGCAAATGGCACAATAAATACCAGCAATTATAGACAGTGATAATGGCACTCCTGGAAACCTATTACTGAGCATCTTTCTGACAAAGTTTAAAAAAACTCCAAGCATTCCCTTAGAAGACATGTCCATGATTAGGTAAGAAAACTAGGTTTAATGTCCTGAACCTTTCCCCAGTGCCTCATGCTAGACTCTGCTGGGATTAAAGCTCTGTCTAGCCTACGCCAAGCACTGACAGCTCTACGGGTTTCTCCCATAGCAGAACAAGGCAGGGGGTGGGGGAGTGTTAATGCTTTCTCCCTATCTTAAATATCAGTTAGTCAGTCTGTTAAGGGTGAGGGCATCCCTAAGAACCAGCCCAAGTCACAGTTGTATGGGGCCAAGAAGGATGGAAGGGGATTTTATCAGCAGTGGGGAAGGGCCTGAAAGCCATATTCAGAGGCTTGTTGGAATATAGTAAGGCGAGCCCTAGCAACATCATAGGCTACAGCAAGGAGTTAGTTTATACAGCTTAGTCAGTTGGATTAGACCCTTCATTAGGATGCAGAACAAACCTCTTCTTCTTGGCAGACAGGAGTGAGAAACAGAATAAAAATGGAAATCAGATCTGAGCCCTGAATTCCCCATTCAGCATGAGTTCCTCTTATTTGAGTAGGAACTCTAGTTTGCCTGGCTTTGTTTGAAATAAAGGTAACAGGAAATTTCAGGGCAGGATGAGGTCAAGGTCTCTTGCTTTGGGGCCAGCAAGCCTTGGGAGGATGCTGGAGTCAGAACACCCCGTCCTAGGAGGAGGACAAGCAGAGAGGGAGAGCATTTGCCATGGGGTAGCAGCAGTACCATCGCTCTACAGCTGCATCTTCAGCAGGCAAACTCAACACTGAGTCTTTGGAAAAGACCTTTCTTAGTTTGAGCTGAACGAGTAGTTGTCACGCTGTACAGAGTCATTGACAGTTTGACACTTGACTGGATGCTTTTTAGCATGCAGAGCACCAGGATGAGGCCACTAGTCAGCTTGTTACCTTTTCCTTAATGTGCATCTTTTAAGGAAGTTGCTGCTTTGTTTCAGTGTATTGCAGGCTAAGAGAAAAAGATGATCTGTTTTGGGTTTTTTTTTAATGCCTCTGATTGCAGGATTATTTGCGTTAAAATCCACAGAGGTCAGACAGAAAAGCCTGAGTTTCATCTCAATCATGTCAGTATGGCTAAGGTGTCACTGGGAGGGGTAGGCAGGTATACTGCAAATTCAGTTTAAGATCAGAAAGAAGGTCAAGTATTTAAAATAGGAATTAGTTTTCTCTACTTACTGTATCATCATAACAGGGCATGCTTATGTGTAAGAAGGTATTTGTTGCTGGTCTCCATGACTTGTCTTTATTATGTTTTAGGGAAGAATAAAGAAGGAAAGATCTCGCTCTATTGGTTAGCATTTGTTTTACAATTTCATATAGATTTTCTTTTAAAACAGTCTCTGGACTGAAATCAGACATATTCAGATAAAATATTTGTTGCCCTGAAACAGTACTGATTGATAGAAATTTTAACAGCTGTTAGAAAGATACATGCCTGCATTTCACTTTGTGATGTTGAAGCCTTTAAATCACTATATTAGCTGCTCAAATTGTAAACAAGATGACAATTTCCTGGCTGCCATAGTAGAAGAGAAAAGAGACTGCTAGTTATAAGCAACTTATGCCTTTAATTATTTTATTAATTTTATTAATATTGCAAATTGTAACTGACAGAGCAATTAGGGTTGAATATTACCCCAGGAAAGCAGCTTGACCAATGTTGATCATCCTGTTAAATAGATGGAATTTAGTTTAACAGAAGAAAAAAAAAGGTTCCCTGTGGTTTATCTCATTAAGGTGATTTCCATAATTCCAATAGTGATTCCCACATCTTTAAAATTAAACTTGGTAACAGACAAAAAGATACAGCTGCATTGGGATGGTGAGGGATTTAGAAAATTTCTGATTCTGTTATGAAATGTCCATTGCTTAATTTGTTTAATCTGGCCTTAACTTATTCCTCAATGAGGTGATACCACAGTCTCGCTTCCTCTGAAGTACGTCCCTTGGATTTCTGTAAAACCCTCATATCTCTCTGGGTACCTTCTGTTGCACCACCTCAAATCTTCTACATGCACTTAACATTAAGGGGCTCTAATTTTCTTTCCTCTTATACCTATTTTCCATCAACATAAATCCACTGACTTTAAAGGGATTGCACCTGACTTGCTCCAAGAAAACCAGACTGAAAAAATTAGCTTCAGAGTGTACAAAGACATATTCAATATGCCAAAAGTGACCATTTTATGATTGTTTTCTGCAGAAATAAATTTATTTCCCTTGGCTCCACCTCACAAGACAGCACTGTTGCTGCAAGACCTAACAGACAGAAAGATTCTGAGCATGACACAATCTCCCTTCAACATTTAAACTGAAATGCTTTTCAGGAAACTACATGACTAATTTTTAAAGAATTACTGCCACAGATATTTTTTCCAGTTCTTCCTTTTGCTCTTAAAAAACAAATCAAACTTTAACTTTCTGCCTTTTTCACCCCATACACTGGAAAATACTTAGGATACATTTTGGCGAAACTGAAGGAAATATCTTAAGAAAAATCTTCTTTGAAGACAAAGAGAACAGAGATTTGCCACGATGTTTTCCTACTGTGAGGTTTGCTGTTCACATACAGAAACAAAGAAGTCAACCTTTATCTATGTTATGGAAGGCAGCAATATAGGCGCTGGCAAAAATATTTGCCAGCATAAGCAAAAGGCAAGCATACAGCTGCAAAAATCATAAAGTAACCGTATTTTATCCACCTAAACTGTTCTTTCACAAATGAAACTACAGGATTCCTGTCAAGTTAAAAATCTTACCGTATATATTTTTAAGTGTCTCCTCCCTTTTACTCTGTTACTGCCTATACCCTTCATTGTTTACAATAAGACAGAAGTCTCATCCTATTGTTTTTCAACTACCTCCTCTATTGTTTGCTGTATGTGTTGCATGGGTGAAGTTTCTACACTGCAACTACAAAAGAAAACTAGTAAAAAAATATGAACTTCATTTCTTGCCTTGACTGTAGTGTAGAGCCTGCCAAAACTAGGGTTGAGGTTTGCTGGAAATTTAATTAATTTGAAATTTAGGTTGGTTCTGAACCAGACAGGAATCTTTTCTTTTTTTTAACTCTCTCCTAAAGACAGGAGACTAATCTCACTGAGCAGTTGCAAAGAGCTCGGGAGTTTCCAGTCCCTAAATGACCTGCTTAAACAACTACTCACAGGAAGGAGGCTGTTAGCAGAAGAGCCAGCCACATTACCCCTGAGGTCAGGAACCTCAATTTTCAGCAACCCCTTCCTTACAGAAAACATACCAGAAATCTGTGCAGTCTGGCAGAATGTGGCATGCTGTTCAGAACGAAAACTTTTTCAGGCTTATAGAAAATGTAAAACTACCTCTCTTCTGGTCTGCTGGGAGAAAAGTCAAATTTTATGAGCTGCTTCTAGATCTGCAGAAATTGAAAGGTCTTTTATCTCAAAACAATCCATGCAAAGAGGTACCTTGTCACTATGATTTAACTCTCCGATGAAGTAAAAGCAATTCCAGGAGAGAAATCCACTCCTGACAATGGAACGTGTGGGGAAAAGATTTTGAAGTAGTGAGGTTTGGTATATATTGGTTGCTCTGACACAGAACTGAAAACTCTAGGAGCGGGCAAGGCATCATATGCCTTTCAGCCAGAGTAATGCCACAGCAGGGCACAGTAAGCCATGCTTTCTGTCTTGGGCCAAATATGATGCCAAGTGGATTTCACTAGTATCACTGAAATCCTCCAGGGTCAGCTGGAGCTCTAGCTCAGTGACTTTAAATATTGCACAATGCTCCTTTCAGCTAGTAGAGGTGATATAGCCTTTATCATAGCATATATTCCACAACTCTTACTCCTTCTCTTTCAAGTCCTGTTAGGTGAAGACATTTGCTGAAACCCGAAGAATTAAATTACTAGATCAGACAATTGATTTGAATTCATTTGAACCCAGTTATTTTACAATTTGCTCGGTAGGACAAAACCAGGTGTATGGCTGTACGTAGAGTGAGGACCACCAACACAGATACGGACAGAATCTAACCTACTTCATTTGTTTTGATACCAAGTCTCTGTCATTCATGGTGCCAGAACTCTACCTTTCAGGTGGCTGTGAGGGGAGACAAACTTCCTAGGACTGACTCTGGCTAGAGCATCAAGCGCAGCTGGGGTATATGCTTTTAGAAGAGAACAGCTGATGCACACAGTGGAAAGTAGCAGGCAGGTATATCTCTGTCTCATAAGGCTAGTCTATTACAAGATTTCTCGTGTGCTGTTTCCCAGATCCAATTCTGTTCTACCTTTTTATACACAGATATAAAACTCCAGAAGTATTCAGTGGAAATCTTCATAAACTGCAAGTAATGTGTCTTAAAAAATGCCACAAGAAGCTCAGTGCATTCTCTGGCACTGTGACTGGCCTAACCTACATATCAGTGACACTCCTCACAGTTAATGGCCTGCATCAGTGACAACCCTGGAGGCTGGTCAGACACACAGTGCTTGTACTCACAGTTTTCACAGCGATTCCCTGTATAGCCAGCCAGACAGGCACATTTGTAGGTACTGCTTTTGTCCAGAATGCACGTTCCGTCATGAAGACATGGAGATGAAGAACAAGCTGTAAAAGAAAAGCAAGAACATTCATGGTCTCTCATAGCATGGAGGTCCTATCTATTTTTCCTCATGGTGGTTGTGTCTTGGGGCAAATTACATATCCTAGTTAAAAGTTAGGAAGAGCCTAACTTTTAACAGTAAAGGGCCTAATGCATGTCAAAAAGCTTTCTGCTCTTCTTTCTTACTTACTGGAGAGGGGACCTTTTAGGGATGGGCAGTTTTTTTCCCAGCATTTATCGCTTGCTCTTACCATTTTCCTTTAACTGTAGTCAAGTGGTGAAAAAGGTTTGTGGAAGAAAAATAATTTACAGCAAGCTCCAACAGTGTTCAGAGCTTGGCCTAAATTAAAGAAGTTTAATATCAACCTACATTTCTCCTGCCATTCATCCCAGAGTTTAGGGATAAGTTCTGAGATCCATGGTTCTGGTGGGTTTTTTGGGTCTCAGATCATGTCATCCCAGACTTTGGGAGCTGCTTCGCCCCTGAGGAGCATTTCTTTGGTGTTAGGTTCAGGAAGATCTGAATGGTCATGATGACCCTAAGTCTGCCAGAGAAGCTCTTGCACACCACGAATCTAACACTGATACACATCAAACTGTACATATTAGCATAAATTAATATCAGAATGTGTAATTGCACCATTTAATATCAGCAAATTCCACTGTGCAATAACACACACACTTTTTTTGTGCCTGCTCTGAGGGGAGATGAATAAGTAGAACATAATTTACTCTCAAAAATACAAAAAAATCGTTTCCACTTAGATTCTTTTCCAAATTGAGTGTAGGTTTTAGCAGACAGAAAATAGAGCCAAAATCTCAAGATTTAGATCCAGATTAAGATTCAGGTAACTCCAGCACCTGAGGAGTTCAGGATCTGATGCCCTGCTTCAAGGTCATCTTAACAAAACAAGACTCTGCAGCAAAGCTCACATCTGGATCCATACCAAACGCTGAGTTCAGTTTCAGCTCAGATATTGACTACAAAACAGATTTCTTGCCATCCTAAGGAATTATCCAAGCATGACTGATAACTTACAGATTAAACTTAGAGATCATAATTGCTAGAAAGGTCTGCATTCTAACTCATTTACAGATCTTCTTTGTCCTTCCACACTGAACACATTGATTACTTTGGTTATAACAGAAACACGAATCTTTGTGCCAGCCTTTCAGTGTTCCAACCCCGAGCAACCCTCTCTGGGGGACCTATGGTGAGGTTCTGCACTACTACATTTAAAGCATTCTCTCTGCTGCAGTTCAGAATGACAGATATCAGAATCAGCAGTTTTCCTTGCAAAGACTTCACTTGAAGCATAATCTGAGTCTTTTACATCCAGATGGCAGGAGATAAGAAATATATAGATGCCACATATGGATTTCTCCGGAGGTTTCATGTAGTGATGTAACAGCAATTCATACATGGCTAGGCAATGAACATCTTCCAGGTCTCACTGAAGACTAAGGTCTGACTAAGGACAGTAATTCATTCGTTAGAAGGAATATATATGTGGCAATGGTACTGTATCCAGCTAACATAAAATATCACTGAGAAAGGGAAGGAGAAGCAGAAGAGCCTGTGCAGGCTGATATTTTGCAGTTACTGGTTTGAAGCCAGTGAACTTTCCGCTTTGTCCTTGCCCCAGCTTTGTCTCATGATTCTGTAAAAGTAAGCATGTCAAGTGAACGAGGATAAGTGCCAGATACTGTCCTTGAAAATGCCTAATACTCAAGAGAACTAAGTATTTTTCTTTTTAAAGGAGTCTTGATTTCCTGGCTTCAGTCAAACAACATGGGACAGCACTACAAAAGGTTAAAGCCCCTATGTTGTGTCAAAGATCACTAGCTTGGGGGTACAGAAAGTAAAGCGTTATTGAAATTCAGTAACAGGCTTTCATCTAACTAGATCTAGCATATGTCTAATCCCTAAAGACCCTGATGCCTCCCCATCTGGCCCCCCATCCTTCTCATCTGAAGTCTGTTGAGAGAATTCTAGTCACTGATGCCAATTACTGGTTCCCATTTGACGCCTGGCATGGGATGGAACCTAACACCTGCTTCCAGACCAGGCAGCACAGCAGGTTGTCTGGTTTCGTCCTTTAATAACTACACATGCAGTGACCTTTCCTAAAGGGGATATAGGCTTTGCAGCTTATTTTGTATCACTCCAAACCTTTCTGGAAGTTGAACCAGTGACCTCTGTGCAGTCAGTGCCACTGCTTCAGCAAGATATGACTTCCAAGCCAGCACACAGCTCAGAGGAAGGGAAGACAGAAAGGGAAGGAATTCAGTTCTGACAGCATAACATGCTTCTTCAGTCCTCTCTGTTACACTACTAAGGTGCCGGGGACATCAGATCACCTCCATGTCCTGGTTCACATCCTGTAAGCACAAATGCTGCTGTTGCTTTCACCTGCAGCACAGGGAATTGCTCTAGCAAACCCTGAGCAAGCTGTTCTGGGGACTTCAGCTTTTCTGCAGTGCTGTGTACAGACGGAAATTTCAGGGCAAATGCTTCAGTATGCAATGTGCTGCCAGAGCTTTCGATCCTGTGCTGCTCCCACTTTCAATTCTACGCTGCCCCATGCACGCCGTATTCTTCCCCTAAACCATCCTGCTGGCCAGGTTAATGCTTCACATAAAAAGACACTGGGTGTTTTAAAAGCCTTTCACTGCAGCTACACATTAGGCAGAACAGCCTCATAATAAAGCGCACAATAAGACCTCCTCACAAACTCTAAGGAGCCCTTTGCAACGTGCTTTGTGTGGATTACCACACTTGCAGCCACCCAGCCTCAGAATAATTACCACTAAAAATGGGGCGGAAATAAAGTGCTCAACAGTATTCGAATACCAAGTGTTCCCTGCTGGGCCGAGAAAACAGAATCAATTCAGCTTGCACCATACGGAAAATGTTAGTTCCCTGAGTGTAGGCAGCCCTTATGCAACATAGCCCACACCAGATTCATTTGTTCTATATCACCTCTCCTGCTGTAAGCCCAGGCGAACTATCAGTAGCTAACTGCTCCTTCTATGTTACTAACAGGTAGTAAAGACAACATGTGAAGAACAGGGCAGGCTAAGAAATGGCATAGGCATGGCCTCCAGCAGTATGCACATTTCAGATTGCTAGTTACAGCCCTGATCATTGTTAACAGCTGATCCACCGTGGGTTTGTGTATTTATATAAGGATTATATAAACTAACTAAACTTCCGGAGCCAGATATACCCTGGATGACCTCATGAAATGTGGGTCACAAGGGTGTGCAGAAGGCAAGTTATGGTGAGTCATAGATCTTGCAGGGTTTATCTATGGCAAAGCAGCACACTCTGATTAGCCTTCTGTGCCAGGAGTACTGTGGATAGATTTGACCAAAATTCCCTATGCAGCTAAACAAGGAAGAT